AAATATTAAAACACCGATTAATGTAACATTAAGGAATGTAAAGTCCCTTGCATAAAGAGAGAGGAAAATTAAAACACCTTTAGTTCTTTTGTGTGTGTGTGTATTTTAATATAGTTTATTGTCAAGTTGGTTTCTATGTAACACCCAGTGCTCATCCCAACAGGTGCCCTCCTCCATGCCCATCACTCATTTTCCCCTCTCCCCCACCCCCATCAACCCTTAGTTTGTTCTCAGTATTTCAGAGTCTCTTAGGGTTTGTCTCCCTCCCTCTCCTTAACTATTTTTCCCCTTCCCCTCCCCTATGGCCCTCTGTTAAGCTTCTCCTGATCCACATATGAGTGAAAACATATGGTATCTGTCCTAATCTGCCTAACTCATTTCACTTAGCATTATACTCTCGAGTTCCACATTGCTACAAGTGGCCAGATTTCATTCTTTCTGATTGTCATGTAGTATTCCATTTCCATAGAAACCACACCTTCTTGATCCATTCAGTTGATGTCAGTTGATGGACATTTAGGCTCTTTCCATGATTTGGTTATTGTTGAGAGTGCTGCTATGAACATTGGGGTACATGTGCCCCTATGCATCAGCACTCCAGGAGGGGCTTTGCACTTACAAGTAAACTAACTTCAAAAGGCGGGAAATATGTATTTCAAAAGGGATTCAAATATTTTGAAAGCAGAAGGAGTAAATGATAAAAAATGTAAGGTATACATTTGAAAAGATCAAGATAGACATGATGAGATCATTGGGAGCCATAGAATCAAGGGATACATCTGAAAGGTGTACTTTCAGGCTACTCATTTGGAAAGAAAAGTGAATCACGGTACTGTCTGATATGTCAGGTTACTTAACGTCATTACATCTGTTTTGCAATCTGTAAAATGGGGATAACACATACAGCCTACCTCCTAAGGTTGTTGAAAGACTTAAATGAGATAACTAAAGCATAGTGCAAAGAAAATAGAGTTATATTAATATGAATTCTATTTTGCCTTCTCCCAACTCTACTATTGTATGATGTTGTTGTGCCCGAATCACGAGTCCCCAGTGACCTCAGAAGCCAATACCGATGCAAGAACAAAAGGGTCTTTATTACAAGCTCGAGCAGGGTCTCACCCGCCTACTGACACAGCAGCAGCAGCAGAGGGGAGCCCCAAACAATAGCGAGCAGGGTTTTTAAGGGGTAAGGGATGGGGATGTTACAGTACATATGTTGTACACCAGTCACATTTGTATAACACCCTGGCAACAGCTTCGACCATTCAGTACCTGTGAGGTGTCCGTTACTTTTGGCGGAGCCCCAATCATGGCCTTCTGAGACTCCTTTGAAAATGACCAATTATGAGGTGAGTTAGGCACGGGGGAGCAGCCCTTGCCTCAGCCCGCAGGAATGTTATTAACCTCCTCTCATTGGCTAATTGGGGAGGGGTTTCAGCCTTGAACAATCTGCAGGTTTTTGTTTTTGTTTTTTTTTAGACTGCTGCTATGTGCAGCCCGAGGTTGCTTTTAATGGGGGTCTTAATTTTAAAATGGCATTATTTAGGCTCTTCAATGTAACTCTAAATTAGGTTCCTAAATCTCAGTTTCCAGTAAAACAGGAATCATAATACTGAGCTTAACCACTCCACGATGTTGAATAAGATAGCCTATATGTAAGCACTTTCCAAAGGCACTATTTAGACACATGTGAAGGATTTCTATTGATATAAGCAATTGGTTTGTTGCTTCCTATAATTTCAGGAATTATATCAAGTTTAGAGCTCAAAACCTAAAATAAAGTTTATAATCATCTCAATTACTACAGGAAAATTTTCCACCTTTTGCTTTATCTGGTTTTGTAACTCCATAAAAATGTGAGAAAAAGAGCTAAATTCAAGCTTGTCAATCCTGCTATTAGTATCTTTGGTGTAGGTCTCTATGTTACTTAATATTGTCCTTTGGTTTCCATGACCTCTGTGACCATGGAGAATTTCAAGATCTTCACATTTTTCTTTGTATCTGTTTTAGCACCTAGCAATGTGCCTGGCAAATAGTAATGGCTCAACTAGTATTCGTTAACTGAATGAACGATTTCATAGTTCTACAGGTGTGTGTAAAGAAGGCTGGAATTGAAGTCAAAAGACTGGGATTTCTGTCTTGGCTCTGCTTTTTTTTGGATATGTGACCCTGGAAAAGCCACTTCAGGAAAGAGAATCACACAGATATTATCTATAAATGAGGACTGGTAATCCTTAAGTTTTTTTCCTTAAAAATTAAATGAAAGAATGTATAGAAGTTCTTTGTAAATTACATACCATCAAGTTTTAGGTGTTATGATTAAGCACTAGTGAATTGTACTTTTAATAGCATCTTAAATAACTAGATACATAGATTTACTAATGATTATTGGTTAATACAGGTAAGCATATATATGGATATTTCCTATAAGAGTGAAACACAAGACACACTGGCAATTGTAATGTTTTAATTCCTATTCTGTGGCATTTGGCCTGATGAGATACTAGACAAATATGACTACAGTGCAGTTTTGGTCCTGGAAGATCTCACAATACCATTTTAAATTCATTATTGCATTTAAATTACTGATAATGAAACAATAGTACTGCAGTGTTTTCCTTTAGAGCATCCGTTGGTAAAGTAGCTAGATTCGACTTTGAAGCACAGAGATCCTTTGAACCGCATTCTGTTCTAGGTGCAAAAATGCACAAGCTTTCAAAAGTGAGTGGGATTATAATTTTAGGCTGCAATTCTTAAATGCAGAGAAAACAGGAGTGAAAGTAGGGAGAAAAATACCATTAATACCAATACTGAAACAACAAACAAAAAATTAAAAACTGAGAGCCAGATCAAGGCTCAAGTCCCACCAAAGTCCTGGATAATCCTGTTGTCTGTTACTCATGTTACTCTGTGTCTCTCATGTGTTGCTTATGTTCCCCTGTGGAACAGGAGGTTTTAAGAATTGTTTTTTTGGAAGGCAAAATGGAGTTATAGAATGTCAAAATTGTAAGAACATCTAGGGGTCAAATAGCTAATGATTCTCACTTATAGATGGGGAAAGGCAGTCTAGAGAGGGAAAGGGACTTGTTAAACGCTGCTCAATAATTTTTTAGCAGAATTAGCGGGTTTCCGATTTTCATGTTAGAACCCTTTAAAAGGGGAATCGGTAAATCACTTTCTCACAGAGTGCCATTTAAAAAAAAATCATAATTAATGGGTTACTTGTGTTTTTTTTAATAGTTTATTGTCAAGTTGGTTTCCACATAACACCCAGTGCTCATCCCCACAAGTGCCCTCCTCCATGCCCATCTCCCCCCTGCCTCCCCACACCCATCAGTCCTCAGTTTGTTCTCAGCATTCAAGAGTCTCTCATGGTTTGCCTCTCTCCCTTTCCCCCAAAATTTCCCCCATTCTTCTCCCCCATGGTCCTCCGTTAAGTTCCTCCTAATCCTCCTATACGTGCAAACATATGATATTTGTCCTTCTCTGCCTGACTTATTTTGCTCAGCATAACACCCTCAAGGTCCATCCATGTTGCTACACATGGCCAGATTTCATTCTTTCTCATTGCCATGTAGTATTTCATCGTATACATAAACCACATCTTCTATATCCATTCATCTGTTGATGGACACTTAGGGTCTTTCCATGTTTTGGCTATTGTTGAGAGTGCTGCTATGAACATTGGGGTACATGTGCTCCTATGCCTCAGCATTTCTATATCCCTTGGGTAAATTCCTAGCAGTGCTATTGTTGGGTCATAGGGGAGTTCTAGTGTTAATTTTTTGAGGAACCTCCACACTGTTTTCCTGAGGAGCTGCACCAGTTTACATTCCCACCAACAGTGTAGGAGGGTGCCCGTTTCTCCACATCCTCGCCAGCATCTAGAGTTCTCTGATGTGCTCATTTTAGCCACTCTGACTGGCGTGAGGTGGTATCTCAGTGTGGTTTTGATGTGTATTTCCCTGATGAGGAGGGATGCTGAGCATCGTTTCATGTGTCTGTTGGCCATCTGGATGTCCTCTTTGGAGAAGTGTCTGTTCATATCTTCTGCCCATTTCTTCCCTGGGTTGTTTGTTTTTCGGGTGTGGAGTTTGGGGAGTTCCTTATAGATTTTGGATATTAATTAACCCTTTATCTGATATGTCATTTGCAACTATCTTTCCCCATTCCGTCGGTTGCCTATTAGTTTTATGGATTGTTTCCTTTGCCATGCAGGAGCTTTTCATCTTGATGAGGTAATGGGTTACTTGTTAAAAACAAACATTCTTTGATCCCATCTCAGAATCCCAACTCAATCAGAATCTCAAAGGCCATGAGAACCCGCATTTTAACAGGTATTACATCTGTTCTAATACACACTGGTGTTGAAAAGTACTGCTCTAGACATTGTTTCTCAAAAGAATAAAAAAAGTCTTTGCAAGTACTTTAAAGATGCTAAATGGTCTTGGATCTGAAATGCTGTCAGGATCCCCATGGTAACTAAGCAGTGTAGGTCCCAAGGAATAAAGATAAGGAACACTCTTGTGGTGCAGCACACTTAGGAAGCTGCAGTTTGTAGAACAGTCTAGTAGAGGGCAGGCTCTTCAGCAGCTTGCTAGGCATTTTTTTTACTTCCCCTTTTGGTTACACAGACAAGCTAACTGATGATGCAGTTACTGAAGTATATAATCTCTCTGCCAAGACACAAAGTCTAAAATCATGGGCCTTATATACGTAGTCATTTTATTACCCATCCCTACTTTTTTCTGGCTCTCCCACTCACCCAGTTATGCATGCAAAATACCTAAGGACTCCGGTAGACCCTGCAAGCAAACATCCCTATCATACCGTTTGCCTGGCTAAGGTCTGGGGACCCTTGCAGCTAGGGGACTCAAAGTGTACGCTGAAGAGTGACAGGGAGAGAAGCCAATAGTGTTTCGGCAGACCTTACGTCCGGTATGGGCGGGGCAGGGACGTAGCGCACCGAAGGGAACCTACGGAGGCCTAGGGGTGAGAGGGCAGGCTGGGGTTAGGCGTTTGAAAGTGTCTCAGGCGAACAGAGGAGCAAGTGAGCATCGGCCCCTTCTTCCTGCTCTCCTTTGTCCTTAGGGGTCGGTAGCTGTCGGCCCAGGGCCTGGTATATGGCCATGGACTTACGAGGTTCAGACTCCGTGCCGGGTCAAAACCATCAGGTAAACTCTGTCTTTACCCCGAGCTCCGAGCCGGTGCGACCTGGCGGCTGGATCTCAGATCAAGCCGGGGGAAACCTCGCCTCCGAGGCCAAGCCGACTCTTGTCACAGGGCAAGCTCATTCTAGCAAACCCGGTCAGCCGGACCCCCAGGCATGCGGCGCGGCGAGCCTCAACTCCGAGAGCAAAGGTGGCAGTGGCAACTGTGACGCACCAGCCGGCAAATCCCTCCTAGGGTACTACGAACTCTCCCAGCAGATCGGGACGCAGCTTAAACTGCTGCCGATGAATGATCAGATCCGGGAGCTGCAGACCATCATCCGGGACAAGTGAGCCGAGATTTGTTTTTTCTTGCTTTTCCCAGAAGGGGAAAGGAAAGTGGAAGGTCTCTCCAGGCAAGGGAGGAGGAGACAGGGATTGGAATTAAAAGGGCTAAGGAGTAATGTTTTTGGCCCTCGGAAACTCCTGTGTGATTAGTGCCGGCAGGGTGTCACGTGATTCGGGCCTCCAGCAGTCTTTCCTAGTCCTCGGGTTTAACAGCAGTTTGTATAGGGAGGAATCCTTTTAAATAGCCTCTGGTTTCCCCTTTGTCTCTTCTGAGCAAATACTAATCCTTAACCATTCCTGGCTGGTAAACGTGCCAATGCTATCTGTCTAGTGCTGGCCTATAACCCAGAAATGGTTGTGACCCAAGTTTATGCTCTACAACAAATCACCTTAGGCGCACAAATATAAATAAAGCAATTTTTTCTTCTTCTTCTTCTTCTTCTTCTTCTTCTTCTTCTTCTTCTTCTTCTTCTTCCTCTTCCTCTTCTTCTTCCTTTTCTTCTTCTTCTTTAAATAAAGCAATTTCAAGGAAATTCCGTTGTGCTCAACAAGTTCTCTGACCGTTTACTGTTTGCTACCTCAAATTATGTCATTTTGTCTAAGGTCTTTTAGTCTTGGAGTTTAGGTTTTGTTGGTCCCGTGGAAGTTTATCATTCAACTCTTATCAGGATTGATTTTTGTAAAGTTACAGAACCTCAAGTGTTTCCTGTGTAGTTAATGGAGCAAAGGGAACCTAAAGGAATCTTTGGCGCCCCCTCCTAATCCCACAAATCAAGATAGCAAAAAAAATTAATGTTAAAATGCTATGTTAAAGAGATCTCAAAACTCATGTTGTAGATGGGGGTTTTCAAGGGAAGTATGTACCATGATGAACTACAGTTGGTTTCTATATTGGCCGCACTTTAAATGAATAGCTACTGCATGTCAAAGCATTCATTTGTCAGTGAGTGCTTTGAATTTTAAAAATGGCTACTGAGTCAAGACACCATTCTCCAAATCAGATTGTAGTAACTTTTTCTTCATTCTGTTGTTGGTAGGCTCCCAATTTGTTTCCCTGTCTTCAGTTTTTCTGTCTTCCACATACTTCCACACATTACTGAACAATCTTATCATTCAACTCTTATCAGGATTGATTTTTGAAAAGTTATGATTAGGTAACTGCTGTAAACAGCAGCCTTCCTTGGCTATTTAGAGTCTGTCAAATAAAAGTCATGGACCCTGACCTTTACATTAAATCTCCTATCTATGATTCCTAGGAACTATTCTGAAACATCCCTGATTCTCCTCTCCTCTGAAATTCTCCTCTGAAATTACTCCTTCCTTTACTCCTCTGCATTTTCAGATCCTACCTACTCTTCAAGGTCAAAACCAGCATTAAATGTCCACCTCTGCCAAGAAACTTTCCTTTAATCATTCTTCCTTGCTGATCATCCCTGGCTTTTTGAATGCAAGATTCACCTTCTCTTTTCTATATTGTTATTTGTGTATCAATCTTGTCTCATCTATTCGATTTTAAGCTCCTTGAGGGCAGAAATTGTGTCTTTTACATTTTTACATCTTTTACATTACCTTCTGACAATGCCTTGCAAATAACAGATGCTCAATCACTAAAAGTTCTTTCTAGCTCTTAAAATTATATTTATGAAATTATACTATTTTACTGTTTTTAATAAATCAATATTGAAAACTAGTGTCATGTGATCTCATAGATGGAAGTAGTGATCTTAAAAAGTCAGAGGCATAAGTTTGATAGTTGTAGGGGAAGCTGAAATAAAACCCAACGCAGAACAAAGAAAATGGGATGATGATTCTTGTTTCTGTAGATAAGGAGTTACTGACCTCGAGTTTTGGACACCACTGCACTTGTAGATGGACTTCAGGGCTTTGGTGAACCGTCTGAAATTATCTGGGAAATACTATTCATTATGTTCATTTTTACTGGTTGTTTTTAAATAAATCTTTATTGAGATATAATTCGCATGGCATATAATACACCATTTAAAGTGTAAAACTGAGTGGTTTTTAAGTATGCTCACAGCTTTGCAACCATTACCACAATCAATTGTAGAACATTTTCATTACTTCAGTAAGGAAGCCTGTACATGTGAGCAGTCACTCCCCACTTCCCCTCAACCCACCCAACTGCTAATCTAGACAACTGCTAATATACTTTTTGTTTCTGTTAAGTTGCCTATTCTGTACATTTCATATAAATGGAACCATACAACATATGGTCTTTTGTTTGACTAGTTTCTTTCATTTAGCATATTTTCAGGGTTCATCCACATCATATCAGTACACCATTCCTTTTTTGGCTATATGCTATTCCACTGTATTGATATTGACATTTATGTGTTTATCAGATGATGGATGTTTGAGTGGCTTCCACTCTTAGGCTATTATGAATAATGCTACATTTGCATATGTGCCTTTTTTTATGGGCTGAGGATTCCTTAACTTTTATTAGATTTTGCAAAGGGGTCTTCATGACAATCTAAAGGGGAACCAATGCTATAGGACTTGGAGAGGGCATGAAGGTCAGCATTCATATACAATAGTATCAATACTTGATTTTACTGCATTATTCAGAAAATCCTGGCTTGTATAGTAAACCTCAGTGTAAGTGAAATATTTTTTTCTTTTGTGAGTTTGGAAAGAGACAGTTGAATCCAAAGTGATTTTAGGAAAGATGTTTAGCATCTCTGTGCTTCAACTTTATCATTCGTAAAATGAGGATGTTGGTAATAACTAATGGAGCTCCTGGGATACCTAAAACCAGATACTATCTGAACATTTGTTATAAACTTTGAAGAGCTGTGTGCATTTAAGGCATTTCAAGCCTTTGTTTTCAATTTGTGCATGATTCTAATTGATTCATAAGGGCTGGTTTCTTGAACTTTTAGAAGACAGTAATGGGAATTTAACTCCACATAGAACTCACATTCTTTTTTTTTTCTTTTATTTAAAAAAATTTTTTTTCAAATACTTTCTTGTCAAGTTGGTTTCCATATAACACCCAGTGCTCATCCACACAGGTGCCCCCCTCCATGCCCATCTCCCCCCTTCCCCCCAC